TCGTTCAGAATAACGCTAAGGTGGTCGTATTTGTTTTGTAGGACCAGCGACACAGTAGTCCTTTCCCACAAGGAGCACCTGCCAGTCACTCAGGTTGTGATGAGAGACACAGGCCGACCACATTCAGAAGCGGCCTTTGAGCTGGGGCCTCTGCTCTGCTCGGGGGACAGTAAGTAGAGGCAAGAGGAACTACCTTGACCCCTGGAAATGCATGTCAGTGTTTTAGGAGACGTGTAGCTGCCTGAGTCCGTAAAAACACCGTCTATGCTAATACTCTGCATCTCATTAAGAATGTGTTAACTTACAAGAAAAGTGTATATTGGCGTTCTGCTTGAGAAAAAAATGAGGAGTATTGTATTACCTTCAGAGTATGTGTCCTCTGTGTAGTATTTGAGTCAGACTATTGCTGTGAATGTCGGTGGGATGATCTGAAACACTGATCACCCAGTCAGCAAAATCTAGTGATTTGATAATTAATTAATTGGAGTAAGTATTGGCTGAGTGCCGAGATGCCTAAAACTGGTAAGATACTGAGAAACGGGGTGACGGAAGCCATCACGTGCCTGTTCGTTGTCACCCTCTGACAGTTTGCGAACCTCAATGGTCCTAACTGTCCTCACCCCTCCCACAGCATGTGGATTTCTCTGGACTTCCCTCTCCCAAACTAACTGAAATAAAGTGGATCCACTCTACCTTAATTTACTTCCTTCTAATCCCTCTTGAATATGTTCTCTTCCAGCCTTCTCCTTTATCACTCCCTAAAAACTGCCTTTTCCAGGCATCAGTGAGACCTCAACCTGGCTAAACCCGCACTCTGCTCTCAGGTGGCATCGGACAGCATCGGACCTGACCTTGACCTCCTGTCCTCACTCACTCTGATTCATGTCTTTGTTCAGCTGCCAGCTTACCCACAAAAGTCTGGGTTTTCCCTCCTTCCTTCCCCGTGCCAGCGGCATCCTGTTGTGGTGCCCCCGGCCTGTGTCCTCAGCCCTCCCTCTCTCTGCTCTCCAGTGATGAGCTGTTCCCAACAGGATTGTCAATGATTCTGCCATCGCTGTACCCCAGGCCGTCTCCCTGCACTCCCCCCATGCCACCCAGCTGCTTAGGCTGTACCTCTCTGCCTTGACAGGCATTTCAGAACAGTTTGTCCAAAAGAAGGAAAAAAAGTGTTTCCATGACAACCTTCCCCAACTCAGGGCACGGCAACTCCATGCTTCCTTTCACTTAGACGGAGAACGTAACAGCCACTCATAACTTCTTCCCTCTCTTAACACACGTCGGACTCATCCTCAAATACAAATCGCATTGCTTTGAATGTCAAAACCGGATCCAGCGCCCCCTCCCGGTGGCTTGACTGGCATGCTTGCAGCTGCTTCTGCCCACTTAGCGGAGACGCCACAGAATGGCCCGACGGAAAAGTCAGGGCACGTCAGTCCTCTGGCCCAGACTCTCCAGTGGCCCTTGTATCAGAGCAGAGGCCAAAACTGAACGTCTACCAAGGCTGCGGTGGCCAGCCCTTCCTGGGGCCGCATAGGAGACGCTGCCATGTGGAGAAATCCTGGCATTTCTGAGCCTTGCCATTGAGAAAAAGGAAGTTTCCTACTTCAGATGACAAAACCATTGAGAGGTGGATAGTCACGGTGTAAAGAACACATGAACATGCCTTGACGGATGACAGTACGAAGAAATGTTTTTCCCACTCATGACCTTAGACTGCAGACCACACTCTGTGTCCAGATGGGACGAACTAAGCACGCCTACCCCACGTCTCCCCCGAGTGCCCTGTGAAACCTGGGCAGCCTGAAACAGTCATCTCAGGGCTCTAGGAAGCCAGCCGCGGCAAGGAGGAGAAACCAGGAGGCATCATTTACTTTTCCCTCCAGCATCTGTCGGTCAGCCCAGACGTGGGCACTGGGTCATGGACAGAGAGGTTCCAGGAGAAGCCCTCGAGCCCTGGCTAGAGGCCGGAACAGAAAGGTCCTAACTCTCAGAGATGCAGGAATCCCATTTCCCTCTTTTCTCTCCAGGCAGACCCACGACGATGGCAGCAGGAGCTGCCCAGGGAGCGCACGAGAGCCAGGACTTCAGAAGGGGACTTCTGCCCTGCAGAGGGCGGCTGTGGCTCAGAGATGGTGGGAAGACTCCTCTTAGTTTTGTTTTCTTCCTCCACTCACCCATCGCTTGGCAACGGACCAGGTACAGTTGCACAGGACAGCATTACAGAGCAGTTTCGGTAGAGCCTGTTTTCCAGTTCCGTGACTGACAAGGGAGACCAGGGGACCAGAAAGTACCTGGAATTGCAGAGGGAGGCGGCCATTCAGGAAAGCATACTATATGTTGTTCATGAAGTCCTGGGCTCATCCCAGAGCGACACATGCATGGATCCGGTCCTAACTGTAGACCCAAGAAGTTGAGAACTGAATGGAGAGTCGACAACCCAAGACCCAGGCTGGCACTGGGTTGTGCACGAGTGAGGCAGAGTTGGGTCGTGCTGCAAAGGCTTTGGAAACTGGACTGACATTAGAGACAGCCCACAGAAGGCAGGTTGCAATGTGTGGCCAGATCCTAACTAGGCCAAGTGCCCGCAAAAAAACCTAAATAAATTAAAAACAAAAAATAAAATTTGTATATATGTATATATATGTGTATATATGTGTATACACATATATATTCATATACATATGTAATCAACATGCTCCACAACATTTAAACAAAGCCCAGAATTTATTAATATAATATTTAAAATATCCAGGAAGTCATCCAAAATTACTTAGCACAAAGAATCAGAAAAATCTAAGCTGACTTAGGAAAACGTAGTCAACAGATACTAATGCAATTGTGACACAGTGGTTAGAACAAATTGATAAAGAGTTTAAAACAGCTATTACATAAGAACTCT